GTGTGTGTGTCTGTGTGTCTGTGTGTGTGTGTGTGTGTGTGTGTGTGTGAAGGTACCTCTGGCTCCTCTGGCAGGGGTTTGGGGAGCAGGGGTCGATGTTTCTGCAGGAGCCGAACACAAACTGGTTGTCCTTGAAGCCGACGCAGCGCGCCACACAGGCGCTGGGATACGTGCGTCCGTTACGAGCGCAAACTGGCACGAAATGATCAGCGCAGCCGCAGGGAAGCCCTGAGAGAGAAGCAGCAGCTAAAGCACTGGCCCCGAACACAACCACAGCTCACTACACACTATTACTACGTTGACTTAAAAAGGTCTTGAAAATAATCGCTTTATTTAAACGTGTTTCAAAATTGATGTTTTTTATCTACTTCATTACTTCTTTTGTTTATATTTACATTATCATGTTTTCCTATTTTTGTCTATAATTGTTAGCATTGAGAAAAATGTTTTTAATAGACGTTGTTGTGAAGTCTAAAATCTGTGGAAGCCCATTTCCGCCCAGGAATACAATGATTACAAAAAAATGTATTTGCAACTTTTTATCTCACAATTTGGACTTTTTTTCAGAACTGCAAAAGTCTGCAAGAAGACTCAATAAGAACTGCAAGATATAAACTCAGAATTCTGACTTTTTTTCTTGCAATTCTGAGTTTGTGTCTCATAATTCAGTTTTTTTCCCCTCCATGGAATAAAAACTAAAAAGGTAATTCTCACAATTCAGACATTTTTTTCAGAACTGCAAGCTGTAAACTAATTCTGACATCTTTTCTCAAAATGGCAAGAAAAAAGTTAGAATTGTGAGAAAAAAGTCACAATTACCTAAAAAGTCAGAATTGAGAGATATTCTGACATTTTTCTTGAATTTCTGAGTTTATATCTTTAAATTCTGAATTTATGTCTCACAATTCTGACTTTTTTCCCTTACAATTCTGGGTTTATATCTCACAATTGAATTTCATAATCCTGTTGTTTTTTCTTTTAATTTTTTTTTTCTGCCACAGAATAAAAAATATAAAAGTTAATTGCAACTTTTAATTTCACAATTCTGACTTTTTTCACACAAAAATAAAACTGAGAAAATGTCTGAATTCTGATTTAAACAGTTGCGATTACCTAAAAAGCCAGAACTGTGAGATATAATCTCAATTGAGAAAAAAAGTCAGATTTACGTTTTTTAATGTTTTAATCCCGTGTGGTAAATGGGCTTTGATGGACACCAGTAAAGATGCTAGTGAAGCACAGACCTGTGAAGAGCCGTCTGTCCTCGTCTGAGCCGTCGGCGCGCACACACTGACGAGACGAGCAGATGCTTTCACCGGCGAAGCAGGAGCAGGGCTGACAGTCGACCCGGAACGACACACCGTGACCTGCACGGGAACACGAGATGATCAGTCACCACTGTGAGGAACAGCTGAATGAAACTCACTCCTGTAATATAGGATAAAACAAGGCTGTGCTTCCGGCTGTCTCTTCCTTTAACATAGCTGAAGTGATAAGTATCTTACAGCTCAACAAACTGCAGTTTCAGAGCAGTTTGGGCCTTTTTTTGTCCTTCACTTTACTGAGAATGAGATATATATATCTATTCCCATATAAGTCCTACGAGTAAGAATACAGCAGTCTACACATTTAGTTTCCATAAGAACAGTAAGGATATTTCCAGGCGGCACTGCTTGACACGACTATAAAGCACAGCACATCTGTCTCAAATGAGCCCAAGGTGACCAAGCGCTTGAGAAGTGGAGTAAAAATAAACATGAAAGAAAAGACAATAAACTCATTCAGGTTCAAAACGACAGGCATAAAAATGAGCTGTTTACAAAAAACACTTACTAATAAAAGGTAGAACAAAATAAACAAAAAAGCATTTCGCTATGGATATGCATTTATTCTAATTCTAATGGTTTTATTGAATAGTTTTTCTATAATTTGACATATTTCCTGTAAAACATATTGGAGACCATTCTAAATATCCATCCGCTGAGAATTCAGATTTCATTTGTCACCAACAGATGGCAGCGTCCACATAAAACAAGACCAGTACTGGAACGATGCATTATAAAAACATAACATATCCACAGTTGTTTTGCCTTGATTGCTCTTATGTTAAGCTAATAGTTAATTAAATAAAAATAAACCAATGTAGGTGTCTGTTATGCACCATGTATATGTGAAATACACCTCATTCGAGCAGTAAGTGCTGAAAATGTGTTGCTTTTAATGTGAGAGCTGAGCTGCATGTGAATAACAGAGGCTGCATATGTAAGGACATCTCACTCTTGCGCTGTCCTCCGATGAAGCAGGTCTTGCTGGTGTCGAAGCAGGGCATTTCAGCGCAGTTCTGCAGACGGCCGCTCTGCCCGCAGGTGCACACCTCATAACAACCCACCTGACCGCTCCTGGTGGGCACCTGGATCCGGCTGTCCAGCGGCACCAGGAACTCTGACGCTTCCCCCAGCTTGCAGCCTTAGAGACACGAGGAAAACGTGTCTGAGAAGAGTTTCTGATGACAACACAAACCTAGTGCACTTTACTCGTCATTCTCTGGCATACTAGCGTTCGCTCTTACTGTGCACAGTATGCATACTACTGTAACTGTGAGTACTGTGCACAGTGTGTCAGTGTCCTGAACACATACAACACACGGATGAGCCGTTTACAACAGAGAACTCAACGCTGGGTATCCCACAATGCACTTCACTCGACTTCACCTTCAGTTTCTGGTGTGATGAATCTATTTCTTAACTCAGTATTTGAATGGACTATCAAAAGTTAAGTTAAAAAATAATAAAAAATAAAACAAAATCTACTTCTAGATTATTTGATTAGAAACTAACAAAAGTTTAAAAAAAAGATGTTTTAAAACAAAACAAAACAAAACCAAAACCAAACACAAAAACAAAATCAAACAAAACAAAACAAAGTTAAAAAAGATGTTTTAAAACCAAACCAAACAAAACAAAACCCAAACCAAACACACACAAAAAAAACAAAAAAAACAAAACAAAACAAATATTTTAAAATATACTTCTTGACCCATCATTTCATTGGAAACTATCAAAAGTTAGGACGCTTAAAAAACAACAACAAAAAACAACCAAAACAAAACATTTAAAATCCACTTGTTGATTATTTGATTGGAAACTAACATAATGTTTTAAAACCAAACCAAACAAAAACATTTCAGGTACACGGGACCATTTAATGGCAGTCACCTCAATGTCAAAATGAGGCCCAACTGGCCAGAATTCACCATACTTTAAGTAGTAAGCAGTATTCAATAAGCAGTACTGTATTATTCCATTCTGAATAAATATCCATGTTTTATCAGACTTTGAGCTCATGAGTGGTGTGTACCGGGGACGCAGAAGTAGGGCAGGCAGTCGTGTCCGGGGTAGCAGCCCTTTCTGTTGACTTCACACAGGTGACTGCTGGGACAGGGGCTGGGGTTGCAGGGGTGGATGACTTCTTCAACGCTGTTCTGGAAGGGGCTGGGGGCTGTGGAAACCGTAATGACATGAGTGACATCAGTGAGTAACGAACACAGCGCTGAGCGCAGCGGAGGAGCCACACTCACTGAGGTATCTGTGGAGAGGGATGCAGCGCTCCGGGTCGTCCGTGGCCGACAGCAGGTCACAGATGCGCTCGGGCGTCTGTCCCTCGAGAAAGCGCTTGCCATCGCCACACTGCGTCAGGATATCCACACAGTCCGACCTGAGGAGACACGCATCGCCTCTCGTGAGGTTTACACTCTTTTCACTCAGTAAACTAAACGTACAGTTCTGTCATGACAACTCTCGGAGGGACTGGCATGGTAATGTACATGACAATGTTAATGTATTTGCTCTTGGCGGAATAGATCTGCTACGCTGCTGCTGCTGCAGAGCAAGTATCGAGACTTGCTACTGCCAATACATCCACAACATGCTGCTGTGAGCATGTAACAAATACTGCTGCTGCAAATATAACATACATGAAATAACCCCCATATAGCATACATGAATCACCTCGTAGCAGATCTATACAGGTGGAGCTGGGGAAGATGGAGGGTTTCTGAAGTGCGCTACAAAACTGCTACAGCAACCAAAAGCTAGGTATTTGAATATTGAGCAGTAAGCTCATTGGCTAACGATACAGGAGAGAACCAATCAGCTGCCATGTGACAATGATGTCGCCAGGTCAGATTGAGCTAGACCTATCGGACTGCGCCATCTAGAGTTTCATGCCAGAACTCTGTATTTATCATGATCCTCTAACTCTAATGCAATGTTTAATGTCATTTTAACCTGAAGGTAAAGTCGTGTTTATTTATGCATTGTTGTGCCAATGGTAATACACTGGGGCTTTTGATTAGAGTTGATTAGAGTATTAAAAACTTGAAAAGTATTCATTTAAGGTACATTTAGAACAGATAAAAATGTGCGATTAAGATGCGATTGATCACGAGTTAACTCATGACGATCATGTGATTAATCGCGATTAAATATTTTAATTGATTGACAGCCCTAATTTTAGTACAATATTTGTGGAAGAATGCATTTGGTTGTGTGATATGTTTCTGATTCACTAAGAACCGGCTCATTAGAGTCATTCATTCGGGAATCACACTACACTGGTAGCACTGTAGATTTTTGATTCACTCAAAAGAACCAACTCAGAGTGATTAATTCAGGATTCGGACTATACAGCGGCTGTGGGATCTGTTTTTGATTCTCTAAAAAGAACTGGCTCATTAGAGTGATTCGTTTGGGGAATCAGACGACTCTGCTAGTGCAGGCAACACTGCTGGAGTATTTCAGTATGGCAGAGGAATGCACCTGTGAAACCTGTTACTGGAACCCAACACTTGTTTTAAAGCAGTTCCTTTTAAAACACAAGCAGCAAATCCTGCTGGAACAGGAGCTGGAGCCTGACTGATACATGCTGGGTCGCACCCTGCCATTACTCACCGTCACAGCTCTTTATTCTGATCATTCCTCAGCTTTCTCCTGCGTGAGGACGTCTAATCCTCAGCAAACCAGAGCCATGTCTCGTCCCATTCAAACGCCGCTCAATGTGAACAAAGCAGTCCACAGTGGAAGACTGCACAGGAGTATTTCTGATAAGAATACCAGACTATTGACTAGAAGCTGCCAGTGTTTTGATATGATTTGCACTCTGAATGCCCATAATATGTACAGAAAATTCAATGCAACACTGAAAGGCCCAACAGATACTTCGATGTCAAAAGATTAGTGCTAAAGCAACATGCTGGTTTAGAACTCAAAGCCATCACACGACACCCTGCAATTACCTGGATGTGTTTCATTCTCGCTGCATCAAAGAAATCTAAACATTGTGAGCTCCCTCGCCATGGCGATGACATTATAAAGAGCCTCGTCCAGACCTCCTACACACACACACACACACACACACATCACAAAACAGAACACCGGCATCAACTGTCAACAGCTCGTTTGTGGACAAAAAATGTGGATTATGAGACTATTATATGCAAACAAAATGTTTTAGTTTTTTTTGGTCTAGTGCATGAAAACAAATTTGGATGTGAAGAATAAGCCTGGGTATATTGCAATACAAAAACAAAACAAAAACATTTAGGTTTTCAAAAAAAAAAAAAGGATTCATTGTAAAATTATTTTCATGACAATAAAGCACATTTCCCCCAAAATGTCATCATTATAACAGAAAAAAGTCATCTTATTTGCAACACAAATAAATAAATGCTTAATTAATAAGGCAAATTTTATATTTTACATACAAAGTATTTATATATGCATCATATTTTTTGTTGTGCTGATCAGATGTTTTTTATATTATTGTTATACAGTAAAAAAAATACTATTAAAGCAATAAGAATATAATGACTTAGAATAAGAATAATGAGAATAATGTAAATTATTGGGGGATATTTTATTAATTGCCATAAAATACATTCACAATGAAAAAAATAACTTGTAATTGTATTTAGCTTTTGTGGTGTGGTGTGACCTGGACGTGTTTTCATCAGTTTTACCCATCAGTACAGCAGATGATGAAGACGAGGATGAAGGCTGACCTGCAGATGACGCTTCCTCTGGACTTGCTGTAGCAGGGTTTGATCTGCAGCGCACAGGCCACGGTCTTCCACATCTCCGGCTGGCACCTGCTGATGTCCAGCACAGGGATGTTCATGAAGGGCATCTTGATGGTTCCGTTGGACCAGAGTCTGAAGTCGTTCATGGCTCCCTGGTCTGACTGAACGTTACAGCTGCGAAACAGCTCCGTCGGCCTGAGAACACAAAAACAGCGAGGCGAGACGATGTGTGAGACGCAGACTCACAGAGCAACAGCACAGACAAAACCTGCAAAACTACATACAGACTCGACTTTTATTCTCCACAGAAGCAGCAAATGGTGCTCGAAACACTGCAGCCTTTAAAAAAATAATATAAAAATCAGCTCTGTTTCCAATTTACAGCCGACTCGAGTTGCTTTGTGGAATTGCCTTCTTATTGCATCCCAGAAGGCCATTGTTCACTAGCAGCCGCATCCCGACAAAGCTTTGGGAAGAGGGACTTCCTCAGGAAACCTGAAGCCGAGAGCAGCTTTTATTCTTTCTAATGATCGGCTCTTTTTATAGAGCTCAGTGTGGGACGGTGGAGCTGAGGTTTCTGTGTGTGGTTAGAAGCTGATTCCTGGTCATTTGAAGGTTTGTTTACAGCTTTTTTGTTTGGGTGTGGTGCTGATGGAAAATAAAAGAAAATAAAAGAAAATCTTGACCAAAACGAAAAACTCTCCTTGCTGGGTTTATATGGACTTTCTGTTCATCTGTAAATCCTGAAAAATAAAATGTATCACAGTTTCCACAAAAATATTGGGCAGCACAACTGTTTTCAACATTGATAATAATCAGAAATGTGTTCGTGTATATATATATATATTTTTTAAATTGCTTCACTCAATCAACCTAAACACACACAACTAAATTTAATGGGTTAAAACAGGTAAAAATGGCTCTTTGAGGTAACAGTTGTGTGTGTGTGTGTGTGTGTGTGTGTGTGTGTG